CAATTTATTTATTCTTGCTAATTTTTCTAAGAAATGAAATACTTACAGTAGTTGTAATTTGAAAAGTGTCCTGAAACATCTACTTTTCAAAATTCTTATTTTGTTGAAATCCAAATATCTAAAATTTACATTTCATATAGTAGTAAGTTAAACTTGAAGAATAATAAAAAATGCAGAAAATATCACTTTATTCAAAGTCAAACTTAACAATTTCTGTAAGTTAGGAGCAATTCCGAGTACGTTTGACCTTCCGCAAATGTTGGAGAGTGTGTTCTGATTCAAGTTCCTACGTAAATTCCGCATAATACTGAACGTGTAAGAAATATACTTTCGCATCTTCATGTATAATTAAAGACGAATTTTATACATACATTATTTTCAGTGCATTAAATTGGACGTTATTAGGATTAGTTACTTCGGCTATTGCATTATGAGCCAAATGTCTGCAGAAGTTTTTATTAATGTAATATATCATTGATATAAGTACATTTTGCTACATTACAAAAATACGTTTCACATAATGAAAGCGATACTCAATAATTGATTATTTGAAAAACTCTTTTCTATTAAATGGCATTGAAAGAAAGCAAGAAAATATTGAAAATATTATTGATATTTTTATGATAGTCCTACTACTACTTTTAAAGTTCATAACTTATCACATAAATCGACCATTCATACATGTAGCTACATTTAAACGCCTTATCTTAAAGTATCGGTAAAATGCAAATCTTGGGAAAAACTTCGGCCTTTCAGTAACAGTTTCAAACACATAGTAATACAGTATTCAAACTATCTCATCATCAGTCAAGAGTTCAGTACAATTTTATACTCTATCCAATTTGTTACAATCATTAAAAGATGAATATTTAAACAGTTTCAAAGTTAACTCACAGTTCTTGTAAGTTCTTTTCACTATCACGAAATATAGCGGAGGCATCAAAATGTTTTATGGCGTTATTATTGAGATTCCTATTATAAGATATCGAAAGAAAAAATAAAGATAACGATCCAGTACATTGCTATCCCGTAATATTTAATACGATAGTTCTTACAATATTTTAAAAAACTGAACTACAACCGTATAATCCATTTCTCGATTATTTAGTTTAATTTGAAAAGCTGCGCTTATTCACTGCCTTCAAACATGTTGGGAATTAAACAAGGCGAGCTAATTAATAGTAGTCGAGAAAGCTGAATAGTTCTATTTCTATTAATCGCCTCGTAGGATAATTAATATTTTAATTTGGGTTTGGTCAACTCTAGCAATTATGTGAAACGACTTACAGGACTCTTAAAAATCCACGTAGATGAACAAATATATTGGATGGGATTTCTGTTAATTTGCTGTAGCTCAAGTCACTGCGCCAAATAAATAAAATGAATCCAGAAAATAAAAGCAGCAAGAAAATTATGTTAGTATAAAACATAGGAATGTTTTCGTTGCTTCACTGACATATCTACATTTATGATAAAATAAATTTTAGCTTCTAGACTTACATGGAGTAAATAAAACACTTAGCATCGTCATTAGGCCCAATTGGCGATACACAGTAATTAGTGATATAAAATCCTCTTATGATTTCTTTAATAGCAGATAGCGATAAGTTGTTGTGGCCAATAGACCTATGGATTTATTAATAAACTAGTAATCTAGCTTAAAGTTAACGGTTTAGTTAGTCCGTCGTTTTATATTTTTCAAAGTTCCAATAAGGAACGCAGTCAAACTACCAAATGTGAACATTTAATTATAATTTACGTTTATGCAATGTTTTATTACAATAGCTTAGAGATATTTGATTACATTGATTATAATTATTTATGATTGGACAAGTCGTAAAAACCACCGTAATTCGGCTTTAGAAGCTTCATCGGTTATTGTTCAATGAATAACGTAATTTACACTCAAACGAAAGCTATTTTGTACATTTTAGTAGAGCGCTAGTGGTTCCAGGTATGAACTACAACTCGATAGTGTAACTGCATATCTGATGTATGTGGAAGTTTTTCTTATTAGTGGTGAAGCCAGTCCAACGATAGAGTGTTAAATTACTTATTAATCTTCAAATTAAAGAAGGAATTGTAAAAGGCATTGAAGTAGAGATCTGTCGATATTTCTTCATGTGTTAGTAAAAATTTAAATGTAAATGCGATACATTGTATTAGTTATGGTGAGTATACTGAAATGCTTAAGGTTGTCAGCGGCATTGAAATACATAGCTGCGGATATTTCTCGTTAAGTTTGTATGCATTTGACACTAATGAGAAATATAAGTTAGGTAAATATACTGAAATAGTGATAGCACTTACAATATTCTAAGGAAAATATTCCATTTCATAAATAAAGGTGATATGGACGTAATATTGTTGCCGGCTAATAGTCTAGTTATTGAATTCAACGTAAAATTAAGATGCAAGCTTTATAGCTTCAAATCAACAGGCTACGTAAATACTCAGTATTTTAAATAAGGATCTTCGAGACTCATAGTATTATTTTCAGACGTTTTAAAATACTTACAGGGTAGGTGGTAACTTTGCCAATTTCATTAAAACTTCCTTATAAATATTAATGCCATTCGATACAAGATTATTATAGCTTATATCCCTTTAAATTGATATACGAAAAGTACTATTTCAAATTTTGTATCGAAAGAACGAAGACAGAAGTGGAATCAAAAAATTCATAACAACGGCGCTTAAGGCAAGTAATAAACATAAAATTCTAATTGCTTACAAGCTGTCTTTTATGCTGGAGAAAATTTCGCTACAACTTGGCGAGAAACCGGATATATTATTATGGTTTACACTCCTAAGTGACATAGAAAATGATAAAATCACTTCAGAACTATCCATTGCATAAATAACCACGTTAAGTGTGAACAAACAAAACTGATTAATAATTAGCAAATCTCATCTCCAAAAGTATCGGCTTACAGCTATCGATATCATTCTAATATAACTTACAATTCTTGAATGGTTTTGTAAATTGAATTGCACGACAAGACAGAAATTTTGTTATAATTAATCGATCTGAGAAGTAGAAAAAAAATTTTAAATAGTATACTTGAAGAAAATTGCAACTATTGCTTCAGATAATAATATATACTAATCACAGCTAGCATTCTTATATTCGCACATAATGAAATAATGACTTACAGTTTACGTATGCTAATTAAGTTCGTGAAGCTGCCGTTGCTAATTTTTACTATTTGATTGTGATTAAGAGATCTAGGACAAAATATTATCATCAGAATGATTAATTCGTTACTCAAATGCATTCTAGATTAGCAAATATTAATTCCTTCTACTATATTTAATAATATGATAGTTGGCGCAGCCTTTAAATAATAACATACAGATGAGCAAGTTTAGTTAAATTATAAAACGGTGATCCAGCTAAAGAAGAGATTAAATTTCCATCGCATTTTCTTCGCATGTGTGAATATAAAAAACGCTTTAAATTAGAAGATTCGAGGCCAATGAGTAAAACTTAAAAGTCGAATTGTAATATTTATCCTAAAAATAAGCACTTCTTAAAAGAAGATTTAGCTTATAGCAAATAAAATCTCAAACTAAAATTGTCCACGAATAGGATAGAGAGTAACCGTACTAGGAAGCTCCAATTCATAAAGAAATGATTACTTACAACGAATTTAACTCAATTAAATCTGGATGAAATATTCCTTTCAAAGATGTTATTCGATTATAGCTGAGGTCTCTAATAAATCAAAGTGCCAGTTACAATGCTTGCTAGTTTTCAAGATTGTAAAAATATTTTATACGCATTGGTAACAGCTGGTAAAATAATTCAGTACATACAGCGAAGATAACTTCGATAAACCTTGGAAAGTTTTCTTTTCAATGCTAGAAATTTTATTATGATTCAGATTCCTAAATATCCGCGGATTACATATTAATGATCATTTAATAAGAGAACTATAGGAAATCTTTCTGCGATTCATGAAAAGGGGGATTGATTTTTTATTTAAGACTGATAGTCAAGTCAATTGAGTCTCGTATGGAAACCTACATGATTGCAATATCTTGACACCCTTTAAATATGCCATTTTCAAGAGATTTTATTTCGTTAAAACTGATATCTCTAGGAGCATTTAATAGAATTTGAAATTAATTCGGCATCTATTTTATTTATAAATAATCCTACATTATTCGCGGCTGATCTTGTACTAATTTCATGATAGTAAAAAGGCCTCCGAAAAAAATATTCTATTGAATTATTTACTTATCTCTTACAATTGCATTAGATTGGTTAAATTTTGGAAGTAGCTACTCTTCAGTTCACTTATTCGATTTTTAAAGGCTAGGCTAGCGAAATGAAAATCCAAGAAGTGAATATTTAGTAAATTTCGAAAATAAATCAATATAGCTATATTACTAGCTCCAATTGTCCGTTTAAATAAATCTTATCTTTCTACCAAAATATAGACACAAATTATTTCGAAAATTTGATAATACTAGTAGATACGTTTGTCACGATACGAACCACCGTGAAAAGTAAATCACTAAATTTAGTTGTTAACATTTATATATGGAGATAACTAATAATGATTTACAGTAAGAACTTTGGTAGTTATTATTTGTTACAGTAAATTATGCTGTACTCTAGTGTTACAGAGCAAAGCACCGTACTTGCTAATTAAATAGATTTTGTCAGTATTTAGCTAATGGATCATATTGGTAAGCATAATTGAAATTAAGATATTAATGTCTAGATTGCTAGACGACAAAAGGCATAATTGTATTTGCAATTAATTAGTAGAGCCTATATACAGTAGATATTAATAATGGCGATACGTTAGCACCCGCTACGTACGCGCGATTATCATGCATTTATCGTGCGATTATCGCGCATTTATCGTGCGATTATCGCGCATTTATCGTGCGATTATCGCACATTTATCGTGTGACTATCGCGCACTTATCGTGCGATTATCGTGTATACAAATCATGTAAATCTTATATTGTCAAGTTACTATGTGTGCACCATAAATTTAGTGGAATGGTATAAAAGGACGAGCGAATGCTCAGTTCCTGAGTTCCTTATTAGATCGTGTACGAGAAGGTACTCGGCAACTCTACTAATAAAAACTATACTAATCTTTTAGAACAGTCTTATCCCTGTGTGACCGAAAGTAGTAAAGAACTACCATACAGTAGATCTCCAGGTGTAGTGGAGCAAGGCAAAAGTAATCTATTAGTTTAGTGTAGTAGTTCGCAACATAAGTTTGTGACATGTAGTAAGAGTTCTTATTCGGCAACTAATGATAAATGATCATACTGTAATGTCTTGTAACACTGGTGATGAACATTCTGAAGATATTTAATTATAGATGATACTATAAATAATTCTGTGTACGAACATACTGTAATCTTATTATCAAGAATCGTTCAGAACATGTCTAAGATTATGAATAATGTCTGTATTAATATAGCTATCGACCATGAACTAAATTTTATGAACTTTTATGACTCATACATGATAGCAGCTGTCGAAGGGTATTTATGCTCTGCAGATAGTTGAATAAAAGAAGAGTTCTATAGCTGTTTAACGTAGAAGCAAAGGCGTCTAAATGCTTCTGAGATAGTTAAGGGATACTGAATCCCGAAGACTATAGTAATTCAGCGATTTTTTACGTTATTTTTGTCACGAAGCTGGTTTTGACAACGTTTAAAAATATGTATTTCATGATAAAAATTGACTAATATCTTATACAATAGAGAACTTATACTCTCGTCATCAATTCTTCGTCAAACTTATATCAGTCCTTACAGAATTTTTAATTTTTGTAGAGGATGAAGAAAGTCCAGCTTATCAAGGCGATTATTTTCAATGTGTCTGAGAACATATAAGCAAAGATTATAATATTATTTAAAGTCATTGTTCCTGCAATTTACAAGGTTTGCTACAAATAACAATTTTTAATGTAAAAACTTAGGTTAAAGAGATTTCAGATTATTGCAAGTTGAATTTTTTTATCTCGTAAGTCTACCTGTTACCAGCTAGGAATAGCTCTAACTTGCAACTAGAATTGAGAGAGTAATTTCTATCCTATACTACTGTTATTTGGAATACCAGTCAATTGGTATTCCAAACCAGATAGAATTCAACTGAGCGAGACCTTCAAAATTTACTATAGTACTTTCACAATCTAATTTACTATCGGCTAACCCATCGCTTATATAGATTTTGGTACCTACGATAGGTTTAACTGCGCAAGTCACCTCGTCTATTAGAAATTAACCAAATTAATACTCTAAAGAGATTCTATCATTACAGATTAGATACAATCTAATCCTATTAAATTTACTGTATCAGTAATAAAATAATTAATATTTAATAATAGTTTAACAGGTACATATTAAGCTACCCTACTAAGACATTTCCTCTAAACTTAGGAATTATACTTTTAATTTTAGCAACCGTGGAGGTGATAGATGCAATCCAGTTTAAGAGCTGGCAATTACTATTTTAGTCTATCTAATCCTATCAAGGATATCAACTGTCAACTACTAAATTATAATTAAAGAGACCGTAAAGTATTTCTGAGAATAAACATATATAGAGCGTAACATAGAAATAAAGTATACGTCACGAAAATTACTTTCGTGACGCTAACCTTTACACTAATACCGCAATCTCTAAATTTTAAATTATAGAAGCCGTTTTTAAACCATTTTAGGCAATGCAAAGATGTTATTTTAATTTATATTACAATATCAATGAATGAAATAGTAAGTAGTAATATTTAATATCATACCTTTAGTAGCTTATTATGACGCTATCAAAAAAATTGCTCATTATAACGTTGTAATAATTAATTAATTCCATAATAATTTTCTTCGAAAACTGCATAGCTGATTATATGTAATTGTAAAGTATTATTCAAGTTCTATCACCAAAGATTGATTTAACAGTAACTAAAAACGTCTATGTTATGAGCTCTTACAGCTTTTCCAATCCTAAAGTTGGATAAAATGTAGTAGATCTTATATACTCAAGACGGTTACCAGATATATTCCTAATTTTAGAAAATAAAATTAACTTAATTAAGTTTTTAGCATTTTCATCCGTACTAATATGACAATTTTACTACGCTAATTTGTGTATAAGTATGCGTACAATGTAGAAATAAGTATTGGATCTTGAAAAGTGGAGAAAATATCAGATGATAGGCTAGAAATTCTGTTTTGGCTAATATCTCTAAAAAATACCCAAACAACTAACTTTAAGGTCAAATTCGCAAGACCATAATAAGATAACATTAATCATTAATACTGGCAATTTATGCGGCCTAAACTATTTAATTATAATAAATAAAATAATTTGATCGTTTAAATGCTTCCTTATCCAATCAACTTCGGCAAGATTAACATTTAGAAGAGAACGCAATAGAGCAAATGACGAGCGGATGTTACTAGCAAAATGGGCTTTAGCTTCATCGTTAGAGAATTTACTTACAAGGATGTAATACAGGAAACGTTGCGAAGTGACAGGCTTCTATCATTTGTAAATCTGTTGCTGGAGATATTTCTGAAACGCAAAGCAAAGATTTAATGAACAACTTTTAATATGTTGACTGATTAAATGATAAAATTAGATGTAGCGGTAACACTGATATCCTAGGAACAAAATTTAACAAAAATATTGCTTAAGAATTGTTTTCGAACAGTAGAATAAGTGAAATTGACTTCAAATATAATTTACATTTGCTTTAAACAAGAAAAACATCCAGAAATTTTAATTTCACTCATAAGGTTGCTCGATAAATCTCTAATTTAAGAAATAAGGGGAAAAAACATTAAATTGGAATCATAATAAATAGCCTAAATAC